TGGTTGTGGGAATCACCCCTCCAACGTTGTGGGGCTTATCTAAACCCACATTTTTTTTTTGGGTTCAACATACCTAAATATGTAAATGGCGCCAAATACTTGCGCGACAAAGAACCTACTCGTCGCGCTAGATCTTCATTTTGTGCGACCAAAAAAAGCTGTCGTCACGTAAAGTTACAATTTCACGCCACAACATTCATTTCGTCGCGTGAAGTCATTTTGCGCGACGATTTATATTCTTGTCGCGCAAAATATATTGATTTTAATTTCATATGATATATACACATATATATAATTACAATTGAATAGGGTCAATGAGTATAGCTGTAAAAAATCATCATAATCGGAGTTAAAATAACCGTTAAATCGTGACTTTTCATTTATAATCGTCGAAAAGTTTTGTCTCGTTACTTGATCTCTGAAAGTTTGTTTTTTCCGATTTTTGGAGTATATGATCTCGAAGTATAAACAAACAAGTTTGACAGTTGGATTATTGAAACTAGTTTCGTAGAATGCGTATGACATCAAAACAATATATTCACCAAGAATTAAGAGTTTATTTATACTTTCGTTAAATATAACATAAGATTATGTGGTATCCCTAAACCCTGAACAGTTTTGTCCCGTTACTTGATCTCTGAATGTTTGTTCTTCCCGATTTTTGGCGTATATGATCTCGAAGTATAAATAAACAAGTTTGACGGTTGGATCATTAAAACTAGATACCAATTAGATACATTTATACAGATACAGTATAAAAGGTTCATGTAAATAAGTAAACTTTGCACGACGAGAAGAATATTCATCGTGTAAAACTTTACGAGACTGAGAACTACGTTGGGCAAAACTACACGACTTTGCTCAACATATCTTTACGCAACAAATACGCGCCCTCCGTCGCACAGTGCTAAAATTGTCGAGGGTTTAGGGTTGAGGGTTGCGCGACAAAAAAATAGATTATTCGTCGTGCAAAATCGCACAGACCTTTCACTTTCTCTCTCTCTCGCTAAACCCTAAATCCCAAATTTTGGCGGAATGACAACCTTGCGCGATGAAATACCAGGAAGTTCATTCGAACAAAGTAACTAATAGACAGCCTTGCGCGACGCTATTCTTTATTCATTACGCAAAATCGCACAGACCCTTCATTTTCTCTTTCTCCCGTTAAACTCTAAATCCCAAATTTTGGCGGAATGACAACCTTATGCGACGAAATACCAGGAAGTTCATCGCGCAAAGTAACTAATAGACAGCTTGTGCGATGCTATTCTTTATTCGTCGCTCAAAATCACACAGACCCTTGACTTTCTCTCTCTCCTGCTTAACCCTAAATCCCAAATTTTGGTGGAATGACAATCTTGCGCGTCGCTATTCTCTCTTCGTCGCGCAAAATCGCACAGACCCTAAACCCTAACTCCAAATTTTGGCGGACTCACAATACTGCGAAGCGGAATGAGTTTGTTTTCGTCGCACAAGGTATATTTAAAATATCTTGCACGACGCTTCTTGTTGTTCGTCGCGCAAGATCAAATAAAGTTTCAGAAACGACGCGACTGCCTCCTTCTTCCTCAGTTTCAGATTTTTTGCCCTAAACCTCCTCTCTCTCTGCTGTCACCTCAGCCCACTACTCCGCCTGAATTTGGACCGGGCCGCCACAACCTTCGAATCCCGGACCGGACCGGGCCGTCACCGTCGAGCCTGCCGCCAGAATTTGCTCAGTTTTCACCAAATCTGCGCCGGCCTTGTTCTCTCTCCTCCGGCCACCAAATCTGACACCTGAGGTATAGTTTATGGACTATTTTTTTTTTCTGCTTTAGCTGATGGTTGGGTAGGATTTGAGTAATTGTTAGTTTTGGTATCTAGAATTTAAACCCTAAGTTTGGCCGGTTTTTGAATTTAGATTCCGGCCAATTCCGGCCATTTTCCGAGGTAGGTTTGAGAACAAAAGTGGCTCTAATTCATGTTTTGAGTAAATGTCACGTGTGTTACTATAGCTCATGGGCATTGAGTCCCAGTGCAATCCTCTAGCTGTCTCGAGCGCGTAGGTGTGCCTGAATTTGAATTTGATTGCCGTTTTAAGTCTCGAACGGATTTCGCCTATTGTATGATTTCCCGGTTTGATATGTTCGGACCGTTGGATCGAACTCAATCTCATGTATGTTGTACCTTGTATTTCTAGGATCGTGTCGGATTCGACGGATCGTGGATCAGAGTCCCGGATACTCCGAAATCGTAAACCCTAGGTCAGGCTATGCTTAGAATTATATCTTGCTAAATTGGATTTATTTTTATGGGTAATAATGAAATTGTGCAGAAGGCAGACCTGATTAGAAGTCGTGGGGCGGTGACGACTGCACAGAGTTCGCCTCCCTTGGCTCAGCCGTCGTCTGCTGCCACTGCACTAGCACTGATGGACCACTTGCCAGTTGCTCCCGGGGGGTCCCAGGCGCCGGCATCATCAGCATCATCAGTGGCACAACCTCTTAGTGTCAAGCGTCATCATCGGCCTGCTAGCACCACCGACACCACATCGACAGACGCTACTGGTGCGTCGGAGTCACAACCAGGTACAAATTTCCTTCAACTGCTGTGGTATTATTATTTTTTTATTTTATAGTTTTATTTGTTATTTATTTAACGTTAATTTCATCTTTCTTTGCAGCCAAGAAGAACACCCGGGGGTCGTGTCGACAGTTGAAGACTGCAAAGGTCACCCGATGACCAACAGTCGTATCAACATCGGATACGACGAGCAACATCTGGTTGCACCGACGGCAGAGTTGCATAGCTCCTTGGCCCACAACGTTGGTCACGTCGTTCGGACCCATTGCCCGATGCAATGGAAGTCTTGTAAGGTCATGCCTGAAGAGATCAAGACGGAGGTTCGCGGCCAGTTGTCGGTATGTATCCTATCTTTGACATTCTTTTTCTTTCAAACTTTATATATTTCTATTACTTAATGTATGTAATTAATTGATTGTAGATGAACTACAACTTAGAGGACCTCGACGACGAGTCATTGGCATACGTCAACAGATTCTTCGCTGAGAGGTACAAGCAGTGGAAGAGTGACTTGTACCACCATTTTGAGGCATTTGATAATCCACAAGTCGCTATTCAGGAGGGTTTCCCGAAGGAGCTAGAAGGGCAGGAGGATAATTGGGGGTGGCTCTGCGCTCATTTTCAAGCGCCCGATTTTGTGGTATTTTTTAATATTAATTTCTAAATTATTACATATTTATTACTAATGTTTATTTAACTTTTTTTTATTTCATTTCAATTTTAACTAATACGTTTTATTTTTTGTATAATAGAATAAAGCCAAAATCAATAAGGGCAATAGGAAGAAGAAGACTCTTCTCCACCATTGAGGTTCCAGACCCTTCTCATATAGAATGGATGCATGGCGGCGGGTAATAATAAAATAGTTTATATTTAATTTTTAATATGTCATTATTATGAATTTATTTTTTTCGTACTAATAATTTTTTTTTTCTCTTGTTCAATTTAGGGAGGTCCAAATTCCCAGAGATCAACGTCTTTGGCGACGTTTATGTTCGAACTTGGAATGAGTTGGCCGAGTCCCTTCATGTAAGTATTATTTAATTTTAATTATTATGTTACGCATTCAAGTTTCAGGGTTATTATATGAATGTTTTAATTTATATTTGATGTTATGTTAAACAGACGACAATGGTGGAGAAGAGCCAGTTGGTTCTTCAGGAGTCTGTTTCCCAACTTCCTCTCGATACTCCGATTGAGTCTGTGGATCCTCCACAGGATGCTGAGTTTCAAATCTTGACGGAGACGTTGGATCAGACTCTCGGGAGAAGGCCGATGACATATTGTCGAGGGATGGGGAATGCCAGACGGAGGGAACCTAGACCTCGTTCATCAGCGCAGTCAAACAGTCAGGTGACTGCTTTGACAGCAAAGGTGGCCGAGCTAGAGGGTCAGATGTCAGTGATTCTGCAGTCTCTCGCGCGGTTCGACATTCCTGTCCCTCAATTTGATGCGTCGACCTTTGCCCTTGTGGACGCCCAAACCTCCGAGCCTGTCCACCCCGAGCATGCCCACCAGACCACTGCCCCTGTGGACGCTCAGACCTCTGAGTCGCATATAGACGACCAAGTAGATTTTGCAACATTATTTGATTAGTTTTTTATTTTCATAATTATATTTTAAACATTTCTCTTGTATATACATTTATTTTATTTTATATAATTTTTTGTTCTTTTCAATTCTTTTTTTATTGCAATTTCATTTTATTACAAAAAAAATGTATTAAATTAAAATAATATATATTACTTTTTTCGTCGCGCAAATTTTTTTCGAAAAAAAAAAAACGGAAAACTACATTTTAAATACATATATTTTATTCTTGCGCGACAAAATCATTCGTAACGGAATCTTCGTCGCGTAAATGTTGGCGACACGCATTGCGCAATGAAGAAAATATCGTAGCGCAAATAGTTGGGACACGAATCGCATAACGAATATTATCTGTCGCGCAGTGTACTCGCGACAATCATGTTGTCATCGCGCAAAGGTTTATGCGACGAAGAGTTGTCTCGTCCCTAAACCTTTTGTGCAGCGGAGGTTAACCGTCGCACTGTTTTGCGTGACCAATGAAATAAATTGATTTTGGTCGCTCAAAGTCTTTCTTCACGCTCTTTACGCGACGAATCATGCGCGACGACTTTTCTATTGCGCTGAATTTTGTGCGACTAAGTGTATTTTTGCACAACAAAATCTTCTTCGTCGCACAACGTGTAAAATGTAGTAGCGAAACGAGTCATTTTCTACAAAGGTTTTAAATTTTTGGGTTATTTCACCATAAAACTCAAATAACAGTTTTGGGTTAATTTAACATTTATAGAGTGATTGGCAACTCCATGGGCTTTTTCCAGCCTTTAGTTTCAGTGGGCTAAGGACCCATGACCCGTATCAGTACAGTACAAATTCAACTACATCAACCCAAAGTCACAAAACTCAAACCCGAAAACCCGAAATCATTCTCGAACCAAAAAGCTCAGGGAAGGACTTCAACAATGGAGAGGAGAAACAGAGACGACAAGATGGGCGGACCGGTTCCCCAGAACCAAGCCCAGACCCGAGGTCCACCCGGCAGACCCCTCCCTCCTCCTCCTCCTCACTCTAGAGGTCCACCGCCCCCGCCCCCTCCCCGCCTCGAGCCCGTCGACCGTGAAAAGGTACTCCCCTTCAAGCTTTGCTGTTTGCTTCTTTAGGGTTTCTGTGTTTTTCAAATTTTGTTTTCAACTTACTTTCTTGCTGGTATGTGCAGACTTGCCCTTTGTTGCTTCGGGTTTTCACTAAGGTATGTGCAAGTCCAGTTAGTGTTTTATTGATTTATTTATAGTTTTTAAGTATTTTATTGTTGTCAAATTGGGTTTCGGAAATTGTTCATGACTGTGTAGTAGTTTTCAGCTTCTTCTTGTGCTAATTCTTTTTCTATATTCAAAATCAGATGACCCTTTTAAAACTTCAATCTTTACTTGACTTAAAGGTCTTTTTGTGGAAGTAGATATTGTTGATTTTGTTGCAGAGTAGTGTTAGAAAAGCATTTGGGTTGTTTGGGAATGCTTTTTGCACCATTAGAGAGTGAAAGGGAAACGATTGAAAACTTGATCTTACAAATGTGCTTATGAAGTCCCTACTCTTAACTACATATATTAGTGCCTCACTCTCTCTTGGCCTTTAACATGGTTGCTCTAACTAGGCTCTGAAATCAGTTCGGTAGAAAGTTATGGTGGTGATTCTGAGATAAGATTCGAAAGGGGGAAGGAGAATTACATTTGTTTTCCTGTACCATCATAAGCAGTAATAATTTGGTTTTGAAGTCTGAGGAAACTCACGTTGTAGGAGAATTTAGCAGCAGTGTTAGTGAGGGAAGTCAATGTTAATATAAAGGAAATGAAAGAGACATATGGTTTGGCTGATGATATTCCGATTTAGCATTTTACAATGTCATTTAACTTATCTTTCTGCAGATTGGAAGCCATCATAATAATGAGGATTTTGCAGTCAGAGGCAAGGAGCCCAAAGATGAGGTTCAAATTTATACATGGAAAGACGCGACACTTCGCGAGCTAACTGATCTCGTATGTGGTCCATTCTTTATATTGTCATGCCATCCTATACTCTTTGCCATATTTGGTTGAATAAATTTATATTACTTGCTTCGAAGATGATTCTAGTTCTTTGTCAGGTCAAAGAGATTGCTCCAGAGGCTAGGAGAAGAAATGCAAAACTTTCTTTTGCTTTTGTATACCCTGACAGGCGCGGTCATTTTGTGGTGAAAACGGTACTTATTACCTTCTAACTTAGTGATATATGCATGTATTATGATACATTTTAGGTTTTCAAATCAAGCTATCAAGACTTTCTTTATGCTCCACTTTACAGATAAATGAATCCTCTTTTCTGCTGCAACTGAAACTTTGCTCATTAATGTGAAAGCTTATGTCCTATCAAAAGAAAAATGTGAATTTCATATGTATCTTTTCACCTCTTTTCAGCTCTTTTAAATTTGTTTTCCATAACGTTTGGCATATTCTGTGGGCATGTGTACAGTATGATATTGATACAGAGTAGAGTAGGTTGGAAACAATATAGCTTAGGTACAGATGCAGTTGAGCCATGTATATTATGATCTGTACATCATCATAGTACACGATTACATCATCATAGATACACCACTCGTGTACTAATGCAGATTAATTTAATTTGTTTTTTTTTTAAAAAAAAATTGTGTGTTTCTTTTATTTCTGAAGGTTGGGATGACGCATTCTTATGGAAATGGTAGAAATCCGGATGAGAACAAGGCATTGAATGATTTTAACTTCCAGGTAAAGTGAAATTTTATATCAGAATTTTTTGTGTTCGACCAAAAAAGGAAACGATGGGTGTTCTCACTTCTTTCCATTCTATGATGTAGATTGGGGATTATTTAGATGTGGCGGTCCTATAGAGATGATGGTGGTTGCTGCATCAGCTGTGAAGCTTTTATAATGGCAGCATCTCAGATGGATTGAGTAGGAAGGAGCGAGCCTGTATCATGTTTTTCCACCTTTAGAGTTGATTTTATGCCCATTTTTGTGGATGTATTAATATGCTTTATCTGCCTTTACTCAACCATCTTGTGGAGGCCGTTCTGTATGTTGTATGGATGTTGAAACGCGTCAGGAAGTATTCTGGTAATCTTAGTACTGTTGGTTTTTCAGTTCTTGCTACATGAGAAAACACCTTATCATATATTAGCTGAATAATTTTTTAAGTATTTATTACTGGCAATAGGCAGGCATGATTAAGATTTTATTTTATTTTTAATGCAAGTGATGTTAGGAAGGAGGGGGAATCGAAGGTGCATGAGTAGTTGTAGTTAACCAGTTGAGCTATAAGCCCCTTGTCGATGAAGCTTTAGTTACGCAGACTGCATACGGCCACAATGGACATAGAGTTGTGGTCCTGTGGACCATAAATAATTCTGTGTACGAAAGTTACTGAGTAATTAATTGCGATCAACTTTGTGGAGGCTTAGTATATACGCATTTCAGTCCAGAGAGGGTTATTTGTAGACAACCCAAATATATAGAAAAGAAAATGCTTCCCAACTGAGTTATTATCAAAATTTGGAATTTAAGATCGCACGATAAGCGTGAAAGCTGAACTATCTGATCATGATATCTTCTCTCCTTGTATTCATATTCACAATCAACTCCTGAGATTTTCGAAGATCCAAAGAAGAAAAAACGCTGAACTATCTGATCATGATATCTTCTCTCCTTGTATTCATATTCACAATCAACTCCTGAGATTTTCGAAGATCCAAAGAAGAAAAAACTACTGTTCGAGTATATTATTCAGCACAAGAAACCACTTACACAATACAAGTGCTGATTTATGCATTACTTTTTGTGCTACATAATTGAGTTGGGTAGATAATATACGTACTCCCAAGTTCCAAATTCTAATCAAGCATTGCTTCCTTCTGGCAATGTAATCAAACGCGTATTTGAATCATAAACCAACGGAGTTCCACAGCTGCAGTCAAATATTACTCATAACAGTTAAAACTAAAGGGAACCAAAACATGCGAACGTGGATACTGGAATCAAAGATTTTCTTAAGATCAGTTGTCCACGTGCAAGTGGCCGGCTCTCAGTCACTGATGCAATGTAGGTTCCACGTGCATCAACGGCTAAGAGTCATCCATTCGATAGTGGGCGACTGACCTGGGCATTGCTCATAGAATCAATGGGTAGCTGTTTACTCACTTTGAGCATTTAATGGTGTTGGTAGCACCGCCGTTTGAAATGGATAGTATGGTCCCAAAGAAGGACACATTCTCTGTACCACAGTTTGGACAAGGGCCCTATAAAATAAATGTTACATGTTAATAGCAATATAGCATCAACAACATCAGATACATAATATTTTCATATAACTTATAAGAAGTTAAGAACTAACATTTGACAAGACAAATTCTCTGTACCTTTAAGATCAGAACATCCTTCACAATCAGTTTGGTGAGTGCCTGAGCTAAATAAACTATGACTGGAACAGCAGCAAACCATGTGAAAATGAAGCTGTATGGCTCTGGCAGCTGCAGCCCAAGAATTTATGAAAGGTTGTGTTAAAAGAGAGCACATCCAAAAACCAATGACTTTTAGCCATCCCAAAATATGTGAGAACTTAGAACAAGGAACTCTGGATATGGTGACTGCTTACCTCCAAAAGATACGTGATTTCGAACCCAGTTACATCATCCAGGAAGAAGAACCTAGCAGATCAGGACACAAGGAAAGTTAACACCAGAGTTTCAATAAATAAATAAATATAGGAAAGGCATAATTTTTATGTTTGAACAGAGTCAAAAAATAAAATCAGTTTCTACTTTCTAATCATTTTCATGAGGAAGTTGATTAAAATGAAAACAAGAAAAATGATGCCGTATTATATAGAATAAGAAGATATCCCTTCACTCAAAGAAGAGCTGTGAAGCAGAATAACATAGCATTCTCAAAACGAACTCTTTTTGGTTCACATGCATTAAAGCTGCAGCTATGGGATTGTGAGTTTTAAGCCTACATTTGATGATATGATCATTGACTTACGCCGCTAGGGCAACAACA